TTAAGTTCAAAATAGAATGTTTCAATACAATAGCATCTAATGAAATTTAAAAATAATTACAAACAAAGCAACTTAAAATTGCATAATAATATCTATCCTGTAAAAAGAAGATGTACTTGTCTTATCTGATTTTTCTCAATTTCATATAATACCAATGAACATTGAGCTGGTCAACACTTATGATACATCTATACGTTAACGACTACCACGTCAAAATAGCTACATCAAGCGTTTTTATTGACATTTTGTTGGCACTGATATACATTCTGTCAATGTTGGAGTTACGACACACTTTCTAAAATTGAATTAGACTAGACTTTTGTTGAGAGAAATGGACAGGAAACGATTAACCTTTTATGAAAGTAACGAGGCAATCAATATTTACATTTTCGCCAAAAAAAATGAAAAAACAATTGTTGCAGAATGTAGAAAAAATAACCATTTTGCTTTTTGAAAAGATCTTTCATTCTCCACACGTTCGAATGTTGTTTCGTGATTTGGGTCAGTCATTAATTCGGGTCTTCAGAGAATTATCAACGTTATCACGTTTTTGCTTTCGTAGTCTAATTGTCTGATTGATTTAGCTCGTGGTGAAAGTACAAGATATGGCACGAAATAAGAATAAGAATGAGATACTTACTGATCTCCTGGGTGTAGTCTTAAAATTGTCTTCTTAATAGTGTTGTAGTTAATCTGGAACCCGGATGCAATGGATTCCATGTACCCCATGAGACATAAATGCACTCAGTTTACGAGTATTAGAATAATCTGTGCGATTTGGAGCCATACTAACCAGACATTGAAGCCTGACTAATGCTGATGCAAGTTTTAAATGAATAACCGTTCAAAACCTAATAAGATGTAATGCCTAAACTTTAGGTCCTAAGAGGCAAATTCCAGGATCAACCAAAGATTACGGCTACGGTTTCCTAAAGTAAAGTTTGGAAAACCCATTTGATATGCCATCTTTTTGAAAGCAACTACGCTGTGAATATGCATACCATGCAGTCAGGTTTGATCTCCTATGAAAATTATATTTTAATTTAGTAAAAATGCTCTCACTGCCAAATCAGTCTTTCCGAGTTCATTGTAAATCAGAGTATTATGACGGTGTTGTTCCCCGGTTATCGTAAACTTAAACTGAACTGATATGTATTGTGTAATGAATTTATTGGCATAAACAGTAATATGTGTCGTCTGTTCAAACGTTCGAGGAAAGTGGAGTTCAATAAACTTGCTGTCATTCTTTGTCGTTTATCTTTTAGCCTCGGGTATTGCAATTTTCCCTACCAGTACTATTATCATTCGTTTATTAAATGAAACAATAAGCATGTGTGGTATTACTCTTCAGGTTGTGCGTTTGTTCTTCCATGTGTTTCTAATGTCGTTCAATACGTCGTTTAAGGGATGAGGTTGAAAGCCAGGGAAATGACTGTAGGTAATCTAGTAAGGTGCCCAACAGTTTTAGAATTCATATTCATAACTGTTAAAGGTTGGAGATAATTACAACTGAAAACAAATTCCATATTTGTTGGTCATGTATTTATGTGAATCAGTCTGTGCCAATAAATAACACGTTGGGTCCCTAATAAAACACCTGTGCCATAGCCTATAGTCATACTTGTTGTTATTGTTGTTGTTGTTGTTGTTGCTGTTGTTGTTGTGGGGTTTAACGCCATTGTTCAGCACACGATAGGCTATACATGGTGGCCAGTATTAATGGTGGAGGAAGAAACCGGGAAATCCCAAGAAAAGCCACCGACCCAAGAGAAGCTACTGGAAAGCTTTCTCACGTATCAACTTTCGCCGAATCTTAGACTCTAACACACATAGAGAGAGATGAGATGGCAGTGATCCGTAACGGAGTGCGCTTTGAATCAATCGGCAGCTCGGGGGCCCTCAAAATTTGTAAAGAATTGAGAACGAAAAACTTTATTGACATTAGGTCTAAAATCTCTGAGTATAAATATGCAAACAATTAAATATTCTGTGATGGATTTACTAAATAAAAATTTTCACCACTACAGTATATGCATGCCTAAAACTACTGGCCTTTCAACGAATTGCAATGCGCAAAAATCACTGGTTCTAGACTTTATCATCCCACCTATACTTAATCCCTATGTCATAACAAAGCAACTGAAATCCACCCAGTGCTGGATTATCCTTTAGCAAAAGTAGCACATGCTAAAGGCCCCGCACTCTCAAGGGTCCTGCTCTAAATGCTTTAAAACTATCAATTACCTACGTGTAGAAAATGCTATATCTGAAATATCAGACATATCTATCGTAGTATCTGGCAGTATAGCAAATGAAAAAATACAATTACTTTACCATGCAAGTTAAAAATTTATTTGTTTTAATATTTATATGTTTGTAACATATGATACGTCCCCGCACTAGTTAAATCCGGATCCCCACCCGCTACTGACACTAGTGATAAAATAGTACAAAAGTTCAAAATGGCAACAACTCTTCTACTAAGATCATGCTAATAATTACCTGCTGAAAAATTCACTGTTCAAAAAATATAGCCTGCTTTTTTAAAACCTTTCCATATGCTTGCTAAGTTCACAGCAATGATGACTTTGATGATCTGTATTGTTAAAGACAATTTTTTGTTCTTTCAAAGGAAGGATGAAGTACATCTGATAACGAGAATGAAACGCCGTTTCAATGAGTGAGGACTGGTATTGCGAGTCATTTTAACCGATTGATACTTTCTTTTAGCAATAACAACTGCCCCGACTTTCACCACATCGACAGTGTTCAGTTTTATCAGGAAACCTAATCAATGATGCAAGGGAGCATCTTGTATCTTAAGGATATTGCTGTGTCCATTGTCCGGTTTTGTTTTGTTATTGAGCTTAAGCCAGTATTAGTTACGTCAGTCATGATGAGATTGATGGATAGTGGTTGATGTGATGACAATGTCTTGGAATCGTGCCTGAAACCATAAACGGTAAAATTAATAAAAACTATCTGGCACATCAGCAGTTTCTGTCAAGGGTACAATCAATAGATGTTATTTACTTACAGAATCTCTTCACCAAAATGAACTAAAACCATTTTAACAGCTCGTCTTCTCACTCTTAAGAGTTTTCTTCTTTTCTTCTTTTTTTCTTCTTCTTTTCATTTTGTTTTCGGTGTTGTTGATTTTGTGAAACACATACTTTCCTTTTTTATGTCATTGTTAAAACATCCAAATTCGACCTTTCTCAGTTCATTTGGTTATCAGCATACATTGGTACAAATGTGAATGAAGGTGGCACTACCAATGGCAACATTTTTTTATAGGAAATAAAGCAAAGCCAAACTGGTGTCATTCTCTTTAGTAGTTGTAGCCCTCGTACTTCCACTCGTGATACCCAATATATCGTCTTCTTTTTTAATCTATAGATATTGTATTTAGAGCCTTCAAAAATTATGATAAACAAACACACACACACACATTCACACGGACTGTTGTGCTCCAATGAGAGGTGTCCCTGTTGGTAGATGTGATGCGTCTTCTGTGGCTATGGAGCCCTTCATGAGAGTGGAAATCCCTGCTGCAGCTATTGAACTTAAATGTTAAGTCTGGAAGGGGTTAGAGCTGCTTCCTCTTGCTTGAGATTGTTTTTCATCACCGGCTTGTCCTCACCGGCTTTCAGATGAGTGGTCAGAACATGTTGCCAGCTGGACTTGTCTAGAGCAAGCTCTTCCCAGGTGTTGACATCGATGTCAATGGCTTTCATGTCGTGCTTGCAAACATCCTTGAAGCCAGATGCAAGCTTAGAAAAAAGAAGGTATTTGGGGATCAGTCCGTTATAAATCCGATGCAATAAAGCCCAGCCATCGGATGCGACTTTGGCGGAGAAGTGTGACCATCCTGTAAATCATGGCTTGTTCAAGCACCTCGTCGTTTACTCGTTTACTCGATCACTGAAGGCGATTAAGATAATGCTTCTGAGTCATCGCATGTGAAAGGCGATTAGACGTTTCTCATATGAGGCGTACGGCGCCTAGGTTACTCTGGCGTACATGAGAGTGCTTAGCAAACAGGCACGGTACATGGAGATCTTAGCGTTCTGGGTCAACATGCTGTTGTCCCACGCCCTCTGAAATAGTTGTTGTTGACGCCTTTCCAATGCGCTTATTAAGCTTGGTATCGTGTGAGAGGTTTTGGTGATGGCAGAGCCGATGTACTTGAACTGACTGACCACTTCTGGTTTGTTGTTGTTGATGATGAAGCTAGAAGGATCCGGATCTTGAGCCATCACGTTGGGTTTTTTTTAGTCTGATAGTCAACCCGAATTCATCGCATGCTTTAACAAAGCGGTTCATCAGGCGTTGTAGTTCAGCGTCTGAGTGAGTGGCAAGAGCAACATCATCTGAAGATAGCATGTCTCTAATGGTTGCTTATCTTATCTTGCTCTTTGCCTTCAGTCGTGACAGGTTGAAAAGTCTACCGTCTGATCGCGTGTGCGGGTTAATCCCTCCCGTGGTTTTCCAGAAGGATTTCCTAAGCAAAACGGCGAAAAAAGATGCCGAAGAGCGTGGGGGCAAGGACAGTCTTGTTTCACTCCGATGTGGACGTTAAAGGGTGGACAATAAGCCATTATACTGCACTGTACCTTTCATGTCGTCTGAGACGGACTGGTCCATGCTTGGCAGGATTGGAGTACATCGAATCTTCGTCAGAATTTTGAAGAGTCCGTCTCTGCTTACCGTATTGAATGCTTTGGTGAGGTCCAAAAAGGCCACGAAGAAGGGCCTGTGGTGTTCTCTGCACTTCTTCTGCAGTTGCATGACAGAGAAGATCGTGTTGAATGTCGACCTACATGCGCGGAACTCGCACTGACACTCTGGATACACTCTGTCAGCATGCGTCTGCAGTCTCCTCAGGATGACTCGTACGAAGACTTTACCCAAGATGCTGAGAAGTGATATGCTCCTGTAGTTGTTCCAATCGCTTCTGTCACCCTTGTACTTTACAGGGTTACAATATTGGTGTCACTGCTTCGGTGGCCTAGTGGTTAGAACGTCCGCCTCAGATGAAGAAGGTTGCGAGTTCGATCCACGGCCGAGTCATATCAAAGACTTTTAAAAATGGTACTAACAGATACTTCGCTTGGCGCTCAGCATTAAGATATTAGTGTTAGGACTGGTCTGCCTGCTGTCAGAATAATGTGACTGGGTGGAAAATAATGAGTCACGTCTCAGGAATGGTGACCCAGTGCGAGACATCACTATAAACTGTCACAATGCAGACATCGCAGCGATATGAAAGAAAAAGTGTTAAAGATACGTTAAAAATCTAAATCACAATCACGATTTTGGAGTCTCTTATGTCTTGAGGCACTGCACCTTCATCTCAGTACTGGCAGGGAAGGTGAATGAACAGCACACTGCCGCCACACTTAATGACTTCTGCCGAGATGCCGTTCTTCTCTGGGTCTTTACCTGAGGTTAGGTTCTCTAATGTCATTTTTAGTTCTGCCACAGTGGGTTTCTTATCCAGTTCGGTCATACATGGGAGGTTTTCAATGTCGCTGAGGGCATTGTTGGTCATGTGGCTCTCTATGGAGTACAGATCATTTCGTGAATAGTATTGACTGAAGAAGATTACAGTGTTGCTATCACTTTCTTAGTGAGATCCATTGCTTTCTTTATGCCATTGTACATACTTCTGATGTTTCCGATATCAACTGCTGACTGCTGAAGCAGGTATTGATTGGCGCACTACCATTATAACCTCTGCACTTTGATTCTGATAGATCTATATGCAAGTAGTGTCCGTCCTTTGGCATGGAGAACGCTTGTTTTCCACGTGGGCACTGCAGCGCTCTTCAATGGCTGCCATTAGGTGGCCTCAGACAAGTCGTTGTTATGTGTGTGCTTCTTAACAAAAGATTTGTGTAGCTGTACTTTAAACAGTATCTCTGATGTTGTACAATCTACTTTGGAAATGCCGTAGGGAGATTCTGAACTGAACGCCTTAGAGAGGGTGTAATTGAATTCCCCAAGCTTGCCTGAATATGATGCATTTTACACATCATTGTGTGGTTTAACCCACTTGCCAAGAATAATGGATCTCCTTTGGCTGAAGCTTAATTTTACAGCAGACTAGCGAGCTATCGGTGTCGTAGTCAGCGCTATGGAATGTATGGATAAGAAGCACACCCTTCATAATAGAACGTCTTGCGATGATCAAGCTCAGCCGGTGCCAGTTTTTGGACCGGGAATGCCTCCAAGACACTGTGTGCTCCGGTTTCGTCTGAGTAAAATGAAATAGTGATGCTGAAGTTTCATTCATCTTCTCAATGCCAAACCTAACAAGACTCAAAGGCCAGGAGTCGTGATCAGCACCCACCCTAGCGTTGAAGTCGGCCAGTACTATGAAGTTCCCTTACTTGAGAATTTTGTCAATGTGCGAGCAGAGCTCGTTGTAAAACGCATCCTTGGTATATGTGGTGGCACTGAGTTTGGGAGTGTAAGCGCTGATAAGATTGACTGGCCCGGTTGTGGTTATTAGACGAATAGATAACAATCTTTCATTTTCTTGTTGGCAGGGTTCTATCATTCTCAGCAGAAAGTTCCTGAACGTAAATCCAACATCATACTCTGTGACTTCATCGATGCCATGTCCTTGCCAGAATAACGTGTAATTTTCTCGGAGGGACCTGGATTCTGGTAGTCATGTTTTCTGTATTGAGGAGATATCGACTTGGAGTCTTGCAAGTTCGTCGTTGTTAACTGAAGCATTTCGAACATCACTGTTTTCCACGACATCATGTGAAAGCCCAGTCAACATGGTTCATGTGAGAATTTTCTGTTGGGGTTTACATTCTTAGCCTTTCCCATTAGTGGGTATAGTCGCAATGCAGCGAAGGTTTGAAATCGGAGTTTCCCCTCTCCTACACAGGCGACCAGGCAAGGTAAACGGGTCCCATCTGACCGAATCATATGGTTTTGAGGCGCCAAAAACTCGCCTGCCATCCCTTCTTTCAGTCAGCCTTGCTGAGTAGTTAAGGCCTGGAGCTAGATATGGTTGTCAGAAGTTCTATCATTGGGAGATTTCCAGGGAATGATGGTGCTTATCTCCCTCTCTCCCACATCATATATATATATATATATATATATATATATATATATATATATATATATATATATATATATATAGAATACAAATCATATGGCGAATAACAACCCTTTCAAGCGCATTGGATCCACCAAGGGATCACCTGCATCAGGGATTGATTTAAAAAATGCAATAAACTGACGACGAACAGTGCGAAACTAGTAACTAACTAGCCTGAGCGCTTTCGACTCCTAATGAGTCTTTTTCAAAGGCAAATACAAAACATATATAAGACAAACAAATAAACACAAAAACGTCGTATTTGTAAACTTCTACATGGCTGTCTCCACATGAGGTAAAACTACAAATACAACCTGCTTGTATAGACTTGTTGCTGAGACTGAAAACTTTGTATAATTTCCTAAAAGTCTACAAGACAAAGCGACATCTATTTTTACTTTTTTGCACATTTATTTAACGGAGATTATATCCCGGATATTTCATTCTATACCGGTTATTCTTATAGTAAAACATTGAAGGATACTAAGAAAATTTAGAAAAATTTAAATTATATTAGTGCATAGTCTTCTTTTGCTAGTCTTAGAATATTGAAACCAAGCGGTCTAAACCAATACACACACACACATATATATATATATATATATATATATATATATATATATATATATATATATATATATATATATATATATATATATATATATATATATATATATGGGGGTGTTTATAGTTTACATTGCTATAAACTTTCGACCCATTTAAACATATTAGTCTCATACTTACCATGATCCCCACTCTTATCTGTTGACAATATCTTTCCAAAACCAGATCGCTGTGGATGGGATGAGTTCCCAGATTTCCGAAACACCCTAGGGATAAAAGGAAAGTACACATCCAAAAGCGTAGTCACCTGTGTCTTGAAATTAGAAAAATAAATTTTTCTTCAAGGGGTGAATGAGACATTGCCAATAAAACTAGCATGATCAAAAACTATTTAGATTATTGCCTATTGTCTCACTGTTGTGACAAAGACATGAGTATAAACAATATTGTCTGCATACATCCATTGCTGAGGACAACAAACGTTTCGCGTTTACATTTGTGTAGATCACACCTGATTTTAGAGTACTGAATCCTAATGTTTTGGAAACATTTTACCTCAAGCTGAAAAATGCTTTATTGATAAAATGAACGTGTATCGTAATTAAGTACATCATTGAAAGACAAATGTGTTGCAACTGAATCTAATAATTTCGTCATATATTCTTGTTCAATTAGCATAAAGTAATTAGTGACAACATAATTAGTTCGCTTAACCTGGAAATGTTATTGATAAATGATACAAGTTCAATAATGGCATACAAGTTCAATAATGTTGATAAAGTGAAAATGTTTTAAACACAAGTCCTTAAGTTATGCAGGTCTGGAATCTAACCAATTGCGATATATTCAATACTCAGAAGGCCTGTTCTCTAACCAACGGCACAGCGCTATGGTATTGTTCATACCCAATCTCCAAATCTAGTTTCTGAAGGAAGCTTATATAGTATTACATGATGTCATCAAAATGTGGGTGTACATATTAGCAGGGATTAAACTTAGGGTTGAATTTAACAACTGAGAAACATGTATACATGTATACGACCAACTTTTAAGCATGCATGCTACTTAAAGCATCACGTTTAGAACATGCATATCGTGACATTATATGACAACGTTTAGACCATGCATGTCACTTATTCGACCACGTTTAGACCTTGCATGTCACTTATACGACCACGCTCAGACCACACACGTTACTTATACAACCATTTTTATACAGCGAATATAGCTTATATGACCACCTTTAAACCATGTATTTCACTTATACGACCACCTTTAGACAATGCATGTTGCATATATAACCACTTTAAACCATGCATGCCACTTATACGACTACATTTAGACAATGTATTTCATTTATACGACCACGCTGAGACCATCCTTGCATGTCACTTATACGACTACGTTTACGCCATGTATGTTAATTATTCGACCACATTTAGACAATGCATGTCGCGTACAAGACCAGGTTTAAACTTTGCATTTTACTTTGCAACCACGTTAAGACCATGCATGTCACTTATATGACCACTTTTAGACCATGCATGTCACTTCTATGAGCAACTTAGACGATGCATGTCACTTACACAGCAAAGTTTAGACTATGAATGTCAATTAAACGACAGAGTAAAGACCATGCATGCCACTTATTCGACCACTTCAGATCACGCAAGTCACTTATACAACCACGTTTAAACCATGTATATCACCTATACGACAACGTTCAGATTATGCCTGTAACTTATATGACCACCTTCACACCGTGCATGCTGCTCATATGACCATATTTACACTAGGCATGCCACTTACAGGACCACCATTAGACCATGCATGTCACGTAGACAACACCGTTAGACCATTATTATCACGTATGCAAACACGTTTAGACCATGCATGTTACTTATTCGACCACGTTTACACCATGCATGTCACTTATACAACCACGTAAAGACCAATCATATCACCGGCACAACCACGTTTACACTATGCATGAAATTTATAAGGCCATGTTTAGAAAAATGAATGTAACTTATATTACCAAGATTAGGCAATGCATGTTGCTCATTCGACCACGTGCAAACTATCCATGTCACTTATACGACCACATTTACACTATGGATATTATTTATGCGACCACGTTGTAAATATACATGTTAATTATATGACCACGTTTGGACCATGCATGTCACTTATATGGCCACGTTTAGACCATGCAGGTTACTTATACAACCACTTTAAGACCATGCATGTGAATTATAGGAACACGTTTAGACCCTCATGTAATTTATACCATCACGTGTATGTTATGCTCTCCTAGTCTTATTGCATTTCTAGGCAAGATATGCGTGTCTCAACGTAGTCGTATAAGTTACATGTATAGCCTAAA